TTTCAAAACAGAGTTTGTACATAACTGGAATACAGATCAAAACACTCCAATAGTACTAAGGAAAAATAAGCTGTTTGCTCAGTTACATATAAAAACCTTTAATAGCATGTTTTGAGAATCTTTAAATTCTATTTTCAATTTGTTTCTGTACAAAAAAGAGCACAACCTGCCTATTAAGAAAACAAAGAACGAAGAATTAGAGAACAGCTGCTTCTCATCACCACATCAATCCAAATATACAGAGAAATCTATGTCCCTAAAGAAAGAAAATCAATATTTATAGAACACCCAGCATTTCTAATGCATGGTTAGTGTAATGACTATACCCTATATTCAAGATTTTAAGCGTTTCACCAGTGGCCGACAAGGGGAAATGTGCTACCATTTACAATGGGGTGCTCCTTGAGGGTGACTTCTGCTTACATCACTGCGTGTCGGAGGATTTGCTAGCACAGTCAGATTGGGCTAAGCTGAAACAGCCCAGTCATGAGTGAACACTGCTGCGGGCTTTAAGAGTCCAGGGGGCTTTAAAAATCAATGATGCGTTAATAGTTACATCCTTAAAAAGAAAGCCAGAAACTAAACTAAATAAGTGTTTAAAACCTACACTACTTCAAAATATCACTACTATTCATCCATATGCTCAGTTAAGGACATAATTAGACCACGTCAATTGTATCAACATTGTCGTAGCTAATGATCTTTTAAAGACCAAGACAATTAAGACATAAAATGAATATCGGAGTGGGGGGGGGCAGTGTAAAGCTAATTCTTCTGATTTTTAAAATAGTCTTATTTTAGCTTTAAATTAATGGACATCATGGGAAAAAACAAAAATTAATATGTGTCAAAACAATTTAAAGAATTATGCTACTTCATTAGAGAATATTATCATTGTGCCTGTAAGATTTTCCATTAGCTTTGGATAGTAAGATGTTATTATAGTGTGCACTTTGACAATGGTGGAATCATAAAACCTTAAAGATACAGGAAAGCCAATGGAAGATTTTCTGACGGAAAGCACAGAAAAATGGGATTTCAGATATATGAAAAGCATCCTTTACCCCTCCCAAATCAGTGGGTCCTTAGCCAGGACTGGAGGACAGATGGAACAAAGTCTCCCCAATCAATGCCGGGAAGAGATTCTCTGGTACAAACAAAACACCCGTGAGGATTTCAGAATAAAGGAAGAGACAACAGTAGCTTCCTTTAAAATTGTATTCATTCATTTATTCTTTATCCATTCTTCTAAGCTTTCAACCACAGTTTAAATCAAGGACTGTGACAGGAATGCTCCCAGCCAATAGAAATACAAGCTTATGGATTACTTTGTATATAGAGGATGTAAAGCAAAAGTTTAAACAGCACAGCAAGTGACTGATGCGTTGGCCTTGCTCTCACTGCTGGAAGAGATATAATTTCCAGAGCGAAAGACCGAGCGGAAGCATCCCAGAGGTCACCCAAGAAAGCAGGCAGGAAGGTTTTGGGATTTTTTCCCCATCACTTTATTGGGAGCTCTTACAGCTCTTATAACAATCCATATGTCAATTGCATCAAGCACATTTGTACATGTGCTGCCATCATCATATTCTAAGCATTTTCCTTCTGTTTGAGCCCTTGGTATTAGCTCCTCTTTTCCCTCCTCCTTCCCCCCACCCTCCCACCATCGTGAACCCTTGATAAATTATAAATTATTATTATTATTTTCATATCTTACACCGACCACGGTCTTTGCCCAGGTTTCTGTTGTTCTTTCCCACTGAGGTTGGTGGTGGTGGTGGTTATATATTGAACATTGTGATCAGTTCCCCCTTTCCCCACCCCTTCTTCCCCCACCTTCCCCCTACCCTTTTGGTATTGCTACTCCTATTTCTGTTCCTGAAGGGTTTATCTTTCCTGGATTCCATGTGCCAAGAGCTCTTGTCTGTCACAATATACATGTGCTGGTCTAACCAGATTTGTAAAGTAGAGCTGGGGTCATAATGGGGGTGAGGAAGCCTTGAGGAACGGAGGAATATTGTGTCTGTCATTGGTGCTATACTGCACCCGGGCTGACTCATTCCTTCAGGCAGGAAGTATTTTATAGATCATATTGGAAGGGAGAAAAACCGATGTCTGAATTCTATTCATGAAAGCTCAGAACTTGTATATTGATATTTAAAAAAACTCGGCTAAATGGAAAATAAGAATCAATACTAAAATAGTACTTGTGTAACGAATAAAAGTCTTCTCCCAAGACATGCTGAATAGGGTAACAGAACTACAGAGGCACTTCTAAAGAGAACAATTTCCTTAAGCACATTAAATAAGCTTTCCATGAATGTGTCTATAGGTATATTATAGCACACAGTATAATTCTAAGTGGGAGTGCCTGTTAGCCCCTCATACACATATACAGCTTTTTGTCTTCACAAACTCACCTATTCCTCAAGGAGAGAAAACATAATATAAAATCAACAATTCTATAGACTAGAAAACCATATTTTGATTTTAGGGGAAATAGAAACTATCAACATATCTAGACTAAATGATGAATAAAATAGTTTTCTATTCACAAAATGCTGGGCACCACATAAGTAACAGCTTCTTGCCTTCCTTAATAACAACACACGTCATCAGTTTGGGCTGACTTGAAGGCTGCCCAGGGCTAGAATCGTTCTCAGACATCCAGCTCTAGGTTTCAGTTTAGCTCCATTATTTCGTTTCCACTGAGAAGCAATTTATTGCTTCATGGCTTTGGTTTTCCTCTAGTGCTCTGTGGGAGGCAGATCCATGCTTGTCAATGCGGCTGTCTAGGAGACCTACATAAGTGGAACCGCCCCTTAGGAAGTTCCGAGATAAGTGCAGCATATTCCCTAAGTGTCCTTTTCCTGCTTTGCAAAGGACCTTTCCAGATTCAAAGGAGTCCTTTCCATAAAAACAATAAACTCCCAAATGATATTTATTGTAATAGAGGAACGACAGTTTCCAGGATATACAAACAGTTCCTGCTGAGCAACATGAAGTCGTTAGTTCCAGAGAGCAGGCTTTCTTTCTCATCCTTTAAATGTGAAAACTTGTAATTTCATTGCAGTTTGAGAAATGGTTCTACCATTTACCTGCTTTTTTCACTCAGAAAAAATCATACCAAAGAATACCACATGACTTTAAAAGAATAATGTTCCTTATGGATGAGGATAATACATCTGGTTACAGTCATTCTGTGCAGTTACTGATATTTCTGAGAGTAAGTTGCATGTAATCTCACATAACACACTTCTTTCTTCTATTATCCTTTTATTCATATTTGAGCTTCTACATTTCTACAAGTATTTGATTTGAATTTAAAAAGTATCAAGAAATGAAAATGAAAAAGGTTATATAAATGTCACTGCCTTGCTGAAATTTTACGTACTCTTGCTGAACACAACTCTGTGACCAGCTGGACTGGAGAGCTACTGCATAGAGAAATACATCTATGCATGAAATCGTCTTCCTGGCAACAGTGTCCTGACATAGAAGAAGCTTAAGAATGTATAAAAAAATCCTTCTCTAGTCACCTATTTGCATATACAGTGCCCTTATTTTTCTTCTCGATGTAGCAACAGTGGTTCTTAATAAGAAAAACCTTCATTCTGCTCATCTCCTGGTCACACTCATCACTAGAAGAAGTGTTTTAATAGGCTCATGTACATTCTGGACACACAGCATGCCAATTAAACCTCAATTTATTTCTTCCAAGAATGTAGATTATTCCATAGAAAGACGCTATGGCCATGTTAATCTGATGTATTACATAATAATAACAACATTAATGACTATCAAGAGCTATAGAACATCAAAATAGAGCATTTCGATGAAGTTATAAATAAAGCTGCATTCCTATTAAGTAACTTATTCTTTAGTTTTTCTTCCTAGGTTTTGGGATCTTCACGGTAGTCCTGTGCGTTTTTATCAGCTTATTCTCAAAATGTTTTATTTTCTTTTGTAATTCTTCACATTTTTAAAAATAATATAGATATTGGGGAAATTATAGAAAATTATGAAAAGACTGAATTAACTTATAATGTTATAACACCCAGTAGTGAACATTTATCAAAGTGCCTCATGGGCTTATTTTATTTCTGCTAATGATTTAGAAAAAAATGTTTTTAACATATTTCTTGAGAAAATAATAGGAATATGGATGAAACTATTCATAATCCCATCAACTAATACCCTATTTTTGCTTATATGTCTATAGTTAGTCTTTTCTATAACTAGTGTAGGCCAATACTTTCTAGTCCTGCATTGTTTCAAGGAACACCGGCAGTGTAATGGCTTAGGTAACTCGCTGTTACAAGGGCCAACTCTTCAAAGCCCCCAGCAGCGCCACATGAGAAGGATGTAGCAGTGGGCTCCCAGACCACCTTGGAGACCCTACAGCCAGTCCCATCCCCACCTAATTTATATTTACAGTAAAAGAGTGATTAAAAAAGAAGAAGAAAAATCCAGTGTGGCAGTTCTACTCTGGGTCAATAGGCCACTAGGAAGGCAATGATTGTATTATGCTCCCACTTTATTGATAAGCAATTTACTATGTCATTAAACACTGCTCAAAATGTACATTTTTAACGGTGGCATAATTGGCATCCTATATAAAGTATTTTAATCATTTCCTCTTTTACATAATAAGAGAATAAGACTTTATAAAGTAATCCCGTTAAACATGATAAATATTTCTTTAATAGAGTGATAAATGTTTATTAAATGCAGATCACTCTGCATGGTTTGCACTGTTTTCTGACAGAGCATTTATTCTGGAAACAAAACAAAGAGTATGGATTTGAGCTAAGTGCAGTCTTTCCCATTTTAGGTACACAAAGCAGAGAACTAACAGACCGATCTTTTAGTATAACTTTATCAAATATGCTTTTGAAAAATAATAGTATGGTCATACACAATAGTTTTTTAAACAATAACATAGAACTAGCAATAACGAAACATATCCAGCATGAGAAAAGAAGGTCAGAATTGCTTACCTGGGGATATAATATAGAAGAAATCTTTAAATTCATCCATCCAGACTTCTGCCAGTCTCCTGTTGTTTTTGTTTATGACATGACCAGTCCCACCAGGGAAAGTGTAAGGGGTTGCCTTCCGAAAAACATGACCCACGTGTGAGCAAGTCACAATCTCCAAGGATCCGCCACACTGCCAAATCTGCAGAAAGGAGATAATTTTTAAATATCAATCATTATAAATAATGTAAAAAAAAAAGTAGGAAGCAATGGAGACTCACCATGGCCACATCTTACATATTCCATGTTTCAATTTCAAGAAAATATAGAGTGGATGTAAAACTTGGAACTAACCTTTGGCAAGGATTCTAATTTTGAACAACTGGATCTACTTAAATATTTGTAGCACTAGGAACATGGAAGTAAGATAAAATTATTTTCATTGGATTATCTAATTCCCATTAGTAAATGTATTTGTTGTTTCATAGACATTGGGTATATGAAATGTACACTGAATGAACAAATTTGTAAGTATTTTATATCCGGCACTTGATTTGGAGAAAAATCAGTTTACTACACTCCACCTGGCTAGAATCCTAAATGACCTTGCATTTAAAGCTGTCTATACCCTTTGCAACATAGGTGTTGGATACATCATTATTGTTTACTAAACTGTGCTTGAACTTATTAACATCTACTTATTTCTATGTGTCTTTCAAAATCACTTCAAGATTACTTCCTTTTGAAAGCTCTGTGGGAAGATTTAGTATTGTGTGTCTTTTGTATTTTAGAAATGCATTTACTGAAAAAATTTCTCACAAGCAATTGTTTGATTCTACCATCTCTCCATTAAAAATATGAGTTCTTTGAGGACAGAAACTATGTCTTATATTTCTTGGTATCCTGGCCCTTAGAATACAGTTGAAATAAGGTATTGTACAAAAAAAAGATGAAGCATTCACTTGTACAAAATGCTTCATAGTTTTGTAATTACATAATTACAAAATGGTAATTAAAGGCCATAGGTCATACCAATACATGCATGAGTCAAAAAGTATTGCTATTCGTGATCTAGTTCCTGCATACACAGATTTATTTTAAACATGATGTGTTTAAATATGTCTCTATGATTGTTGTCTGGTGGCAAAAAATGTTCTCTCAGTAACCTATGCTTTGCTCTTTCACTTTTTAAAATAGTCTTATTGGCATATGCTTTACATAGCATATCATTTAATCATTCAGTCATATTATGAATATTTGTATAATCATCACCACATTCATTTTTCAGAACATTTTCTTCCTATATTTATGGTTGTTAGCACCCCATTTCTACCCATTCCTCCCGGCCAGACCCCTAAGCAATAACCAACCGAGTTACTGTCACTATAAAACAAAAACTCACTGCCATCAAGACAATGCCAACCCATAGTGACCCTAAAGGACAGGGTAAAACTACCCCTGTGAGTTTTCAAGATTTGAACTCCTTATGGGAGAAGAAGTTCTGTCTTTCTCCCTCAGAGGGACTGGTGGTTTCAAACTGCTGACCTTGCAGTTAGCAGGCCAATGAGTAACCACCACTCCACCAAGGCTCCTCTGTCAACAAGGCTACAGATCTACCTATCCTGGCTTTCATATTCCAAAGGTAATATATTTTAACTTAACTATACCTGCCATAATTGACTTTTCAGTGCTTGCTGTCTGATAGCAAGACTATTCACACCACTCTACTAAAGTCAGAGTATTCGCTAAAGGCTTAATCCAGGTAAAGACCCAAAATATGGATTTTGGGCTCATTGTCATCCAGTCTTCTACAAACCCGATGTTCACAATTTAAGCTCTGATACCACTCCCTCCTTCGTATTTGTTATATCATTCAAAGTCCTTGGATCACACGGGTTGGTGTGTTTATTTCATGTACATTTTATTGATGGCTCACTGAGATGGCTGCTTGTTTTAATATAAGCCTGTAAGACCCCACAGACTGGTCATCTTCTGTCTTCAGAAAAAAATATCATATTTTTTGTGTCATTAAAAACCGTGTTAGAGGTCAAGGTTATTATTAAATTTTTAATGAAACTGAACAGGACATATTCCCAAGTCGCTGAAGCATTGCAAAAAGTTTAAGGGCATGTTGTCACACATGAAACGATTTTTAGAAGAATCAAGTGTGTTAAAGAATGTCAGAAAGACCTCAAATATGAGCCAAGAGAGGAAAGATGGTCACCACAGCTGAAGTCCAGAGACTTGTGGAAGAAGACTTTAGAATTACCGTTGATGTGACAGCTACTGAAATTGGGATCTCACATGGGTTGGCATTTTCAATTTTAAGAGCACATCTTAGTCTCAGCAAACTTTTGGCTCAATATGTGCCAAAAATGTTACATAAAAGTTGGTGAGCTCAAAGAGCTGATATTCCCATCAGTCTTTTGGGGGCTAATAAAGGTAAAGGAGAAACTTTTGTGGAATGACTTGAAATCGGGTACAATTCTTGGATCTACCAAAATGATACTATGAACAAGGCCCAGGGGGTTTTCTCCACCAGTTACATTCACTACAGAGATGTCAGCTCAGGTAATGATGAGATATTTTTTGTTTTGGGGGTTTTTTTGGATACAAAAAGGATAATCTTAATAGATTTTCTCTAAACACACAATATGATCACTGAGTTTTATTAAGAAGAAGTTTTAAGAAAATTGGAAATTGCATTGGTAAGAAAGAAATCAGAAATCTGTGCCAAGGAATTTTTCTTCACAATTCATCACAGGAAGCCAGGTCTGTCCAGGGATTTCACTGGGAAAACATACTCCATCCACTCATACCACATCTAAGTCCTAATCTTGTCCACGCATACTTCTTTTCCTCCCCCAATTCTAAGAACACTTCAAATAAACCCAGGGACTTGAGTCCCTTAAGAATGGTGGGATTTCTGTTTGGTTGTGGTATAGCTACGGGTGCAGGATTATTTGGGGATAAGATTAGAGAAAGGAAAACACCACTTGCAGAAGTGGATAATTTCAGAAAAAATAGCAAGGTTTATATTATTTTGTACTAATATGTTGTTTTTTGTTTTTTTTAATCAATTTATTGGGGCTCATACAATTCATCACAATACATAGATCAATTGTATAAAACACATCTATACATTTGTTGCCCTCATTATTCCCAAAATTCGCTTGCCTCTTGGGTTCCCAGGATCTAATATGTTGCTTTTGTTGTCCAGTGCCATTGAGTAACTTCCTACACAAAGCAACTCTACATAGAGCAGAACGAAACATTCCCTGTCCTGTGTCATCCTCGTCATTGCCATTACGTGTGGGCCCATTGCTGAAGGTCCTGTTTCAATCAATAGTCCTCTTTTACACTGATTTTGTTCTTTAATAGACGCGCTGTTCTTTTTCAGGGACGGGTCTCTCCTGACAACAGATCCAAAACATGTGAGCCCAAGTTTCGACGTGCCTGCTTCACAGAAACATTCTGGTTGCACGTCCTCCAATAGCGATTTGTTTTATCTTTTGGTGATCCCTGTTATTTTATACATGTTACTACATGTAAATGTTATTTGTTTTAAATAATTTAACACTATTTATATAATAAGTAGACTATGGTTTTCTTCTTCCATGTAGTAAAATAAACTTCAATATAAATTAGTAAGACAGTTTTGCTCTTGTCTTGTTTTAATGAAAATATTTTATCCAACTGACTCTTCAAGGGATATTCAACTTAGAAAATTCTGTTATTGGACTTACATAGCAGTAAAAGACATCTATTTTTAATAGAAGATGGGTGATGCTAACTAGCCAGTGATAGTTACCAACATGGTTTGTGTTTTTCAAGTGGAATCAAGTCTTTCTCCTTTTGTAATTTTTTAAACAGTCTAACACTAGCAGAATGAGTTCCAACCTAATACTAAAATGATAAAGAATAAAAAAAGAATGAAATTCATTTTCCTTCTCAGTGCAGAAGATGCTGAACTCTTAAGTAATCCAATTCTTTAATGGACTAGAAACTGCCTTTCCTTTCCAGAATGAAATCTAATAATTCTTATAATTTCACACAGCTTTATGTTTTTCTTTGCTACTAAAATCAAGGGAATTGATTTTTCTTTATAAAGACGGTATGTTAGTTTACGCCAGAGTTGGCAAACTATGGCTTGTAAGCCATATGTGGCTCTTGCGATACAGAAATATGGCTCTGAAGTAAAATTGAAAAAAATTAAAGGATAATATTCAAATAATGGTGATTCCATTCATTTTCAAAAATACATTTATAGCTCTTGAATAAGTTTTAACTCATTGTGAGGGAGAGAATTGGCTTCACCATTTCAAAAGTTTGCCAATGCCTGGCCTAGACTCTATCCTTATGTTGTCCTAATGGTTTCACTAGCTTGCCTATTCTGTAGCTTTTTCATAAACTAGCAATCATTTTCCTCAGTACTATATTGTAACTTACTTCAAATCTTATCCTTTAAGATCCTTGTTGTTCAAAAAATATAAACAAAAAGCTTAAAAGGGCACAATAAAATATAATTCTGTTTTACATTTAAAGTGTAAATCCTGTTTATAATATTATCTATTTTTATGCAAACTACCATCAACTATACACCTATGCCTCACTCAAGGGGCCTGGCAGTGCTTTGCAGTAAGTGTCGCTAAGGCTGTGGTCCACGCCCATCAGACGCTCTGAGGACGAAGGAGACTATCTGCTCCCATGAGGATTGACAGCCTGGGAATTGGACATAGGGCCACTATGCTTTGGAACAGACTCAATGACAGTAGGTTTAGTTTGGGTTGCTTTACTCCATATTTATCACTTATTGTTTTATTTGACATTTTGCATTTCTGATAATAGTAAGAAAATCCACTATCCATCTGTGATAGTTAGTCATGATCTCCTTGCCTCCATCTCTGGTGCTTCTGGTTTGACCTCTGCTGCTTCATATGTCATACAGAGTTCTCAATGGGCTACACTGGCATCTTCTCTTCCAATTGTCCTGGGATTTGTCTCTGCTTCCAAGATCACTCTTATACGCAGATGAATGAATGGTTTTGAAGTGTGGTTTTTGCCATCTGCACACCGTATCTCCTAGGGAACAATGGGTATGACCTGGTTCACTCCCTCCACTAAATCAGAAATTAATTCCACTTTAAACCTGTGCACTAATATAGCAGAGAACTTCCAGGAGTGTAGCCAATAGCATAGAGT